AAGATATTCAATTGAGAAGTACTGAGATAAGTAATTATGGCTCGTTCGAAGATGTCAATACCTTTATTGGAAGCTTAATGAACACAGCATCAAGAGCGTTTAAAAGAGGTGTTATTGAATGTGAAGATCGCTCTCTTGATGAGCCATGCGCTGAAGAATTAGCGAAGAAAAGGTCAGGTCGTGGTTATTTCTCTCCTGAAAGCTCACCGAAAGCTGCCTTGAGGATGCTGTATGACGTTATCATTGAGCCGATTGGTGATCTGATCAATGGCGATGAAATTATCTTTGTTCCCGAGAGTTCATTGTGGTCTGTCCCTTTTGCTGCATTGATGGATCCCGAGTCAAATTATTTGTGTGACTCTTTCCGAGTTCGAATGACTCCATCCCTAACTACTTTGAAGTTGATAAACGATTACCCAGACGACTTCCACAATAAGAAAAGTGCTTTACTTGTGGGTGATCCATGTTTAGAGGGGGTTCTTTACGAGGGGAGGAAGTTCGATCCACTGCCATGTGCGAGAGAAGAAGTTGAGATACTCGGGAGAATCCTTGGCGCTGATCCTCTTATTGGTGAAGAAGCAAGAAAAGATGAAGTGTTGAGGCGACTTCCCTCTGTTGCCTTGGTGCACTTTGCTGCACATGGCCGAATGGAAACAGGCGAAATTGCCTTGGCGCCACGAAGTACCTGCTCATCACTGCTCTTTGTTGAGGAGGATTTTATTCTAACAATGAAAGATGTGCTGGATGTTCGGATGCGAGCGAGGCTGGTTGTGTTAAGTTGTTGTCACAGTGGTCGTGGAGAGATTAAGGCTGAGGGAGTTGTTGGAATTGCAAGAGCGTTTTTAGGTGCCGGCGCTCGCTCTGTTCTCGTGTCGCTGTGGGCAATTGATGACAAGGCTACTCTCGTGTTTATGAAACATTTCTATGAAGAACTGGTTACTGGCAAGCTTGCAAGTGAAGCTCTTAACCAAGCTATGAAGAACATGAAAGAGTCTGAAGAGTTCAGCGATGTGAAGTACTGGGCACCCTTTGTACTCATTGGGGATGACGTCACTCTGGAATGAATTTGAAGATAGGAGTTTGGGATATTGTCAGATGGAGGTAGGCAAATATTAATTGATAATATATTTTGAATCAAGCCCGCATCATATTTGCATGAAGAGAATCAATCACGCCAAGGTATAAGTTTCTGCCATTCAAATTTTAGTGCTCCGAAAATGATCAAATTCGCGAGCGGCTAACTGCAACGGCTTTTATGTCTTCAAAGATGATTTGCTCTTAGCCACGCAATCGCAACGTATGATATGCAAAGAGCAGCAAAATGATATTCTGGTTTAATGGAAGACTTTAACCAAAACTTTTCCAAGGATGTGTAATGATGAACATGATGACGTAATATCAATCTCGGAGTGTGTACAATGTATATCGTTCCGCGCTGTTGCTACGCATAGCTCGTATCGTAAATGTTGATTATTAAGTTCATCACTCCTTCAATTTCTGATACTTCTACATATATCGGTGTGTTAAACAGGTTTCTTACTTCAGGAACGTATTCAACCTATGTTAAAATGAACAGTTTCTATTTTCCTTTCTGACCCTTTTTATCCTGTTTGTAGAAAAGACGAGATCCTTGCTGATGGTTTTTGGCAACGATTTGAAACCAACTTCTCCGGCGACAGGAATTTCCTCGGTATTTTCGGCGATTTAGCTTGGTTTTAAAGGCATAATGTCTCAGTTTTAAAACGTCCTGATTATCTCGGCATGTAGCGATACTGTCTGTCAGTAAAAATACACTAGTTTTTAAATTAACTCAATTTTAATTTCTTAGTGCATAGTGTGAAAGACAACAGTGTGTTGCAGAATAGTCGGTGAACTATGGTAGATTTTGCTTACAATTGAATTTTAAAAAACTAATTTCCGTTTTACTGATCACGATTGAAATAGTAAAAGTATTTTAAGAGACTCAAGAAGTAGTGGGCACTTCCTCAGTTAAAAAATTTTGGCGAATTTTTCATTTGTTTCTGGAATGAGTAGAAAGTTAAACTTGGAAGATTTATTCACAAAGAATTTATTTCAAAGGACCATCTACTTTATTTGTAGATTGGGAAGCAGTTTATTTCGCTAGTAGGTCGTGTTGGTGATGGTTTTCAATATGAATCTTACGAATGTTTCAGTTGCATCGTAAAATTTAATTCAATTTTAAGTTGAGATTTCCGTTCTTGGTCAATTGCAGCATCGAGGTAGTTTCTATGCAAATTGAACATTAAAGTTTGCCGTATGTTTTTATATAACTGTGAATCTATGACAATCATATTTGTCTATATACTTCATATTAACTTCATTACTGCGAAGATCGCTTTCATATTTACTATCTTTAATATAGTGTTTAGTTTTCGGTTTTTAGAAAAGAGTTTTGATATCATGTCAAGATCCTTGTGTCTTTTAAATTTGCTTGAGTTGGATTTTTCTTTCATCAAGCCCTCTCTGTAGAGACAGTTTTTTTTAGCGAGTTAGGTACAGTGATTGACTCGGAAAGTTATTGTAATCCCTTTGACTTACTTTGTTATCACGTGAAAATAAAAACTGAGTAACAGAATGTCCTTTGTTATAGATCTGGGCCCAGTTGTTCAAAAAGTGGATAACGCTGTTCAACAGATAAATCACTATCCAGCGGATAACTGTTTAGAAAACGTACTGCGCTATCCAGTGGATGGCGATTTATCCAGTGGATAGCGTTATCCTACTTTTGAACAACCGGGCCTGATGATGGAACTCAGCCCGGCAACATCTTGTAGCCCCGAACATGGACGGATTCGAAGCTCAAGCATTTTGATTTTGTGGTTGGATACTGCTGTGGTTGATCATTGTTAATAACACCTCTGCGAAATTGGAAGGAAGGAGATTCGATTCTCGAGGGGAACTCAAATCTTTTCAATCAATTTGAGTTCCCCTCGTTTAGTTCCTCTTCCCTTTGTGTCACGCTCGTTACGATTTTGGAACAGCGTTTTATTTTCTTCTTTTCTCGTTTGAGTCATTAAAGATGTCGTGAATTGTTAAAGGAGTGTAATACATGTTTTCCTTATTCAATGTAAAAAAGTGGCATAGAAAACGAACTTGCAGTTCGTTTTGTCCATTTGACTTATTTCAGGGAAAAAAATCGGCATTTTAACTGAAATTCCACTTCCGGTGAAAACAGTAGCGAGAAGTGGTGACTTAAATAAGCGGTAGCACTAAAGTATCGCGCAACACGTATTCCACAGTGTAATTGGTATGGCAGCTCGTGCAAATAGCAGGAGTTCTGCGGACGATGTTTTTTTTTAGAAGGGAGTGACTCGAATGCCTTAAGATTAGTATATGGCAGCGATGGGGATAATCCACAATCTTTAGGGGAGTCTGGGCCACGTCCTTAATAATATGAGCCGCGTAGGGTTCTCCGAAACGATCCGCACGAAGACAGAACGGAACATGTTGACAGCGTTAATGGTCGTCTCGAAAACTCATACTGGTATTTAATTTACCGTGTTATTTATTTGTATTTGGCATAAAAATCCAATAAAGCAAGGGTACAACCTAAAGGAATGCATAGAAATTTTTTAAGCTGAGCTTCCGAAGGTGTTTTGTATAGTCTATCAAAAATACAATAAATATGTGGAAATGGAGAGGGCTTACGCTTCTGGGAAGGATACAGCTTGTTAAATCGTTTATTATCCCCAAAGTCTTGAGTAAAGGGTCGTTGATTACAGTCACAGATGATTTAATTAAAGAGGTCAACAGTCTGATGTACCGTTTTAATTGGAAAGACAATGATAAAATTAACGCGCCGCTCTTATCAATGATACGAGGATGGAGAGCTTAAGATGTTGGATATTCAGTCGATGATCCTCGCACAGAGGGTGATGGTATTAAAAAGATTTACAAATAAAGATTATAACAGCTCTTGGAAAATAACATTGAATTACTTCCTTTCTCAGGTAGGGGGAGAATTTGTTCTTAAGTCTAATTTTGATACCAGACAGTTACCTATCTAACTTCCGACCTTTTATAAGGAGTGCCTGGACGCTTGGTCCATGTTAAGGCAACCTTCGATACTTTCGTATGAAGATGTAGGTCACCAGGTTATATGGAAAAATAAAAATAATACTGTCCAAAAGATCTCACTTTTCGAAAAACACTTGCTTTCTAAAGGAATTGTTACGATCGGTGATCTCATTTCTGACACTGGAATCTTCTTAAAGGATGTGAAGGTATTACATGCAAATTTATCTCCGATACCACATTTTAGGTTAATGAGCGTCGTGGACGCCATTCCTCGTGACTGGAGGCGTATTATTAGACAAAGCGCTCAACATCTCCCTTCTCATACCGATGACATAATTTATTTGAAATTAGAAAATTCTGATGTAATGCTAGCAAAAATCACGTCCAAATCACTTTATAACGCGTTTAAAAGCAAAAAGCATATCCCTCCAACTGCGCAAAAAAAGTTCGATGAAAAATTTCCACAGTTTCCGTTTGACTGGAAGAAAATTTATACTCCTCGCCTTTTACCGTCACAATTTAAACTAAAATGAGAGCATTCGAATATAAAGTATTAAATAATATAGTACTAACAAACGAAAGATTGTTTAAGTGGGGATTGTCGGATTCGCCTTTATGCACTTTTTGTAGAGTGGTTGAATCCTTCGAACATATATTTTTCTACTGCAATGTTACAAAGGCCTTCTGGGAAGCTTTCTGTTCTTGGCTTGGTGAATGTCAATTTAACTTTCAAACATTTTCAATAATGGATATATTTTTTGGAGTTTTCAATGCAGAAGAGGACTTGATTATTCTAAATCATCTAATACTGACAGCTAAATTTTATATATACAAGTGTAAATTGAATTCTAAGAATCCCTCCATACGAGTTTATAAGGCCAAGATCGGGGAGATATAACAGATAGAAATGAAGATAGCAGCAAAGCGGAATAAATTAGCAAAACATTTTCAGAAATGGGATAAGCTTTTGCCACATATCGGTTTATGTGATGGGTGTCATCCAAACAATGCAGAGTAGCAGAAGAAGTCAAATTTTATTGTAAAGCATACAATTTCGCTATATACTATTAGTAAGATACTGTAAGTAATTTACCGTAACATATTAAAAGTAGTGTAATTTGTCGTAAAATAATGAAAATGTAGAGTATTGTGTCGGTAGTGTAAGTAATCGAGAGTAAGTCATCTTCTGTAATCAAGTTTATTGTAAACTATGCTTTGTTAGTAGTGTGTTCTCAGTAAATTATTGTAAGTGACGCATTGTAACTGAGTCCTGTAGTGTATTGTAAGTAGAGTAAAGTTTTGTAAAACGCAAAAAAAGAAGAAAGAAATCACAAAAAAAAATCTTGTGCGGTAAACAAAATCCGAAACACTTTTCCGGCGGATTTTGGAACGTTTTTCACTGTATTAAACCCCTAGCCTTTGAGAGAAAAGGTACATGTTAATGCAGATATGGTTATTTATGTCTTACAGCACTAGCGGTTGTGCCTGTTTGTTAGGAGATATTTATGTATTGCTTTCCTTTATCTCCAAAGCATTTTCATCTTTAAGCAAGTTATAACTTCTACATTTCTTTGTATGGCCTGCATAATTATCGAATCCTGTTTGTGTTTGCTTCCATTGAAAATACTAAAAGATAGTTTCGCAATCTGGAATCGGGATCTTTTGAGCTATATTCAGAATAAAAAAAATAGTCCTTCTGATCTTTGAATGTAATTCCACTGCTGTGAAAACTGTGACATAAATTCTTCAACTGTTGTTTCTTTGCAGGGTTTCTCAAAGGAAGCGGCAAGTGGGGTTGGCATGGATTCCCATATAGAAATAAGGGTCAATTATAGCATCATGTATAAAATTCTTTATATCAAACCAACAAAATTGCACATCACATTACAAACCCACATCAACGAATTCTCTTTCTTTGACACGTGTTTCGAATTCATGCAAAGGTTCAGACAGGTCAGTGTCTTCTATGGGCTCAGCGCTGGCTCTCGAACTGGCTTCCCCACAATCTTTCAATAGATGAGAAAAAAGGTGCTTTTAGAGAATCGATAAAGCTTTAGTTATTTAATACTCGTAGGGTTTCCATGTCAATCAATTTAGTACTTACTCTGATGACCTCTAACTTTTGAAGAACTTCACTTCTCCTCGGTTTTTTGTCAGTGCGGTCGGCCACTTCCGAATCCTCGCCGTCTGCCGACTGTATGGGTCCCCTTTTTACTTCAGAATCATTTGCTTCCGGTAGGGCCTGAATCGTCGGTACAGCACTAGGAAGAAGTTGTTTTTGCATTTTAAGGCCCATTTCAACCATGTAGCTTTTCTCATCGCAATCGGGAGAAAAATGACTGCTACAAACAACAAAATGTTCGAACGGCTCGACGAAATGGACTCCTTTTACTTGAACAAATTTAACCCTTTGTTGTTTCAAATTTGCTTCATTTGGAAATCTTTGCATTGTATGCCCAGTTTTGTTTGAATCAGTACAAAACTGGACGACACAACGCTTTACCATTATGAAAAAAATCGAATATGTTGAAACAAACTGTAAGTAAAAAAACCTTGACGAGACCGGTAAACAACGGCTGTGGAGAAGACTTATACGTATCTCACGCGAGTGTGAAACAAAACTTTGGAGGTCACAGAAAAGATTGCGCCATTCAAGATGGCGCTTGTCTGACGAATGGTACTTTTGGTATACTTGATATATTTACTAAACGTGAAAAGAAAATGTAAAATGTAGATGTGGGTTAACGTGGTAGAACATGGTTAACTTAGGGTAGATGTGGGTTAACGTGGTAGAACATGGCTAACTTAGGGTAGATGTGGGTTAACGTGGTAGAACATGGTTAACTTAGGGTAGATGTGGGTTAACGTGGTAGAACATGGCTAACTTAGGGTAGATGTGGGTTAACGTGGTAGAACATGGCTAACTTAGGGTAAATGTGGGTTAAGGTGGTAAAACATGGTCAACTTAGGGTAGATGTGGGTTAACGTGGTAGAACCTGGCTAACTTAGGGTAGATGTGGGTTAACGTGGTAGAACATGGTTATCTTAGGGTAGATGTGGGTTAACATAGTAGAACATGGCTAACTTAGGGTAGATGTGGGTTAACGTGGTAGAACATGGCTAACTTAGGGTAGATGTGGGTTAACGTGGTAGAACATGGTTAACTTAGGGTAGATGTGGGTGAACGAGGTAGAACATGGCTAACTTAAGGTAGATGTGGGTTAACGTGGTAGAACATGGCTAACTAGGACATATTGTAAGTTTTACATGAATCTTAAAGCATATATATTGTCAGCCATTTTGTCGTCTATATGGCATTCAGCCATGGCGTATATACCCACGCGACTGCCAAGTAGCCTAAGCAGTCGCGTGAAACTTAGTAATGGGTGAGTTAAAAATAAACCAGAGCCTCCAATTGGCGCCATAATATGCACGGATATTTATCCGCTGACATTATTTGTTCCGGGATGCGAACAATTTTTGAAAATTGCGAGCTTCGATTGAAGGTTATTGTTTTTATTAATCGTCAAATATTTTTCAACGCTCGGGAAAAGTGCTACAGTTGGGATTTGTCGACCCTTGACCTGTTTTAAAGTAGTTCGTTGTTTTGATTTCTTATACTCTGGTGCAGTAAATAAGTCATTTGAAGGCAGTGGTTAGTTATTGACATCTCATGAAAGAAGAAGTTTGTGGAAGTTGATAACCCAGCTTTACATAATCAATCGTTCATTGTATTCTATGTTCCAGGTTGAACGTTAAGCGGAGTTCCGAGCACTACATAATGTGGTTCATAAGAAAGAGGCCAAGCGAAGTGTTCAAATCCGTTAATGAGAGAAAACTCGAGAAATTTCCGTTTCAATTTCAACAGTCAAAAAATAAATGGGTAGTATAAATATTCCTAAAATTTGAAAGCCTCCCCCTGAACTTAATCTTTAATAACAAAAAATGGGGCAAAAATCAGAATCATATGAGAATGATCTTGAGGGAAATTATGAGCCGAAGTAAGATTCGTCCCTTCACTCAGCATTCACCGGGCTGAGGCGGAAAAGAATACACATTGAAGAGCAAATTATTAGAGCTGATTATTTCACGCCATAACTCAGTTCAAACGATTGGAAAAAAGGCAACAGCAATGACAAGAATGTGGGTAAATGTCTTGGAACTGGTACGTTGTTTTGTTTCTTGTTCTTTCTGTTGAAGCCTCCCTGTGTAAACAAATTTACGCTGATTTCTGAGAACTGTTGCAATTTAAGTTCCCTAGATGTTTAGAAGAACAAACCACAATCTGCCTCAAATTGAGAACTTTTTTTAATACTTTGTCACTTTACACTCTTCTAGCTTTTCTGGGTCTACAGCCATTATGAGGAACAGGGGTAACATCTGTAACTGAGACCACGTCCACTCCAGCAAATACAATGCCATTTACTGCACCCTAAAGATAACAAGAAAAAGAGTATAAGGTTACCACAGATCTGTTTCAAACAAAAACAAGGATGCAATAGCGTTGAAACTGGTTGGTATAGACTACGGGTAGTCCCTCTTTTACAGCGTAGTCCTTAGAAAGAGTAAAGCACACCACAGACTCTATTTTACTCATGGGAAGGACTTTGCCAAAAAACAAGGAGATTTCAAACAGATTTTCATACAGTATTCTAAGAAGAGAAATTTATGCTATTTGGGAAATACACTGTAAATACCTGTCGTCCAGTTCCAATACCACGGATTTTTATTCGTGCTTTGTCTACTCCTAATGAAATTGCTTTCTGAATTTCAAGAGAAAAGTAAATAGACACTGTAAACCAAAAATAATCAACTCAAAATGTAAAAGAACCTCATAAATAATAGTTATTTCACCTTAGTGTGTGGGAAATGCTGCTTCATAAGCCCTTTGATTATCATTATCATTGCACTATCATAAAAATATTTTAATTTTTATTACTACTAAATAAATATAAGTAGAAAATTCCAAAAATTATAGAACAAAATTATTACTAAAGACCTTTTATCACTTTTTTATTCCATCAGGGATGAAAATTTAATAGACTTCAATCTAAGTAAAGAAGATAATTTGGTTTTAACAACTGAGTCAACACTGTTAACTCTTCCCACTGTAGAGAGTTTCTTAAGCTGATTTTTGAAGTTTTAGCCTGAGCTACTGCTTGAAACATCAGCTTTAGAAACTCTTCACAGTGGCCAATGTATTTGATCAACTCAGATATTAAAACCAAACTATCTCCAAAAGACACATCACTAGTTTCTTAAGAAAGTCCCGCCCCCCCCCCCCATTATTCATTAGGTAAAGAGAGCTTACAAAAATCTTACCTGAGCAGCTGCTATTCCAGCCTGTCGTGCTGCTGTAGAACTTCCTCCCCTTGCATTCTTGAATCCCTCTGTTCCCTGACATTCACAACACAGAAAAAAAATTTTTCTTAAAATCAAAATGTAATGGAAAATTTATTGAGTGTGAGTAACCATGTTCACTTACTTACCGCTGAAACCCATCCCAACGTTTTTTCTAAAAAATAAAAGTAATAACGTTTTCAACAGAAAAAAAATAAAAAAGAAATCACAGATATTGACAATGAAAAGATACAATAACTTGTTAACCATCTCTCACCATTTTTGTCCAATATTGTAATGACTGTATTGTTAAATGTTGCTTTGATATGTATCACAGGAAGATGATTGAATTTTAATATTTGAGAGCCATATGCCCTGTGATGCTTCTTTATGTCCAAATATGACCCTGCTGATCTATAAATGAAAAGTCATTTCAGCAATGTAGCTAATTTATCTTTACAGTATCACTGGTGAATCAAAAATTAAAATCAAAATGTAAAGGGAATTCTCACCAACTAAAGAAGCTCTTGATTGTTAAACAAATTCTTCATGGCAGTACCAATGGAAATTTATAAAGAACAGTATGGAGAGTATGCACACTGATGTTAGGATGAAGAGGGTTCGTAAAGAATTTACTTCCAATATCATATTGGCAATCAAGCCCTTATTTTGCAAGTATAACACAGTTTCTAGCTTATGAAAGCCTAAAAAGTTTAACAAAATCCAAATATCTTTCCTAGGATTTTTTTGTGTCTAAACAGATGGAAAAAAGTTCACACTAGTGCCAACTAGAATGACATGTAGTTGTTTGCATAAGATATGTACAGCCTGAGTGTGCTTCTTGCTCTTTGTTTATTGTTTTTTTGAAACTAAAGATTTTGTAATCCCATTATTTCAATCTATCCTCCACACCCAAACCTTGTATCTTTACTACAAGTATAGGAAACAGAAAATTGTGAACACAGAATTAATTATTCCCAAGATGTAATTGTTAAGTCTCCCCTCTAGCTGCTTGTAAATAGGTTACAACAATTTTATGTTAGAACACGATAACAATTTCCACCTGATAAATTTGAGAATTCTCTTAACCTGTTTGCTGGACAATTTATGGATACTAAAGGGAGAGGTTACACTTTAATCACTTCTGCAAGCTAAAGGGTTACAGAAAAACCAGTAAGCCTTGAGTATTAAACTGCTAGAAAAAAGTTAAGAAGTTGGTTGTTTTGAGGTGTCCTGGAAGGTCTTGAAATTTGTTGCGATTGGTTATGACAGACTACTTAGAATCAAATCACAGTTTTCTCAGATGGTTTCCTAAGTTTCACAGTAAAGAGCTGAAACATGATTATGTAAATTTTCACAACCCTTTGTTCTAAACCCTACAAAGCAAAGAAATTACCTTCTACCAGGAAGTATGTTATTACTTTGTAGTATTCTTGCTCTGTCATTCCCAAAAAGTGCTTGAAAAACACACCAAGAAATAGGATGAAAACTCTGAACTTCACCAAACCAAAATTGCCGACTTGAAAGTACTTGAAAGCGACTTCTAAACAATCCTTCAAGAGAGATGACATGCAATTCCATTCATGTATGATTCAACAACATGCAAATAAGTGGCCCTGTATTTTTAAGTTTTACCTTGTCTCTATCTCGTGGAGATAACCATCTCAGATCTCTAGTCAGATCACAATAAGAAAACGGTTGTTTTTTTCCAGTAAAACTACAGAATATAGGGCCACTTATTTGAATTTTCCCTCATTGGTTTGTTTATAAAATAATTATATGCATAATTAAGCATGGAACTATACGGAAATATCGCCCAAATATGAACTGATGTCATTGGCGAAGCAGTTTACTTCAGCGATTCAACCACCGTCATTTCATGTTTTACAGCTGAGTAGAGTTGATCTACCTCTCCTGAACCCCAGATCACTTGTGACCGAAACTTTTATACTACCTCGAAACTTTTATATTTAATTTCTTAGGAAGCTTCGCGAAAATTCGCACAATTCGTTCCACTCTTCCCTTTACTGAAGCTACAAATCCACAACCCTACCTTGCAAAATAGTCGCCATCTTGTATTAACTAAGACACCGAGCCTTTTACTCATGTCGTGAGGGAGATGGAGAACGAGGCGAGTAACCGTTGGTGGTACACTATAGTAACAATATACGACGTAGCTATCCGTGCGGAAACGGTAACACAAGGAGCAACGCTCAAAAGCATTCACCGGGAGTTTGTCTTCTCTCGTCTTCTCTAGCTTACTAGAAAAGCTTGGAGCTCAAACCATGTCAAGAGAGAAAAGAAGATATTATAGTGAAGAAGAAGGTTTGCTCTTATTTCCTTTCTCGTGTGATGTATTTATTAGAGTTCCCCTTTGTTGAGGTGCTCGTGCGATGGTGACTCTAAGTTGTCACGTTTAATTCATCTGCTGTACCACAGATAAAGATTATATCTTCTTTACATGCGACAGCCTCGAAGTGTTTTACTTTTCCGATTCCTGATTCAAAGACGACGTGAAAATGGTGGGGAACAAAACTGTTGATCTAAAGAAGAAGCCGAGGACGAGTGGCTCATCGTTGTTTTTCTCACTAAGGATTTCTACTGTCAGCTGTGTGTCTTGCTTTTGTGCTTGGAAAGGCTGGCGAGATAGAAAATATTTTGTTTTTTTAAACAATAGGATGCAGAGCCACTTGCTGATGTTATTTTTCTTCTATTGTGGTGTTTTTTTTCGTTGGTTTGTTTTTGTCACCGAATCATCATATGTTAGTTCCCATGTTCCCATTCTTTGAAGTGTGCGGACAAGGTGGGCCTCATTGGACCATTTTATATCTGGGTGCCACGATAACTTTCAAAATCAGCGATTTAACACTGATGGACCCTGCTTTAGATGTACAGCCAATTAAATCATTCTTTTCAGGGATGACCAATCAGTTTCCTTTGACCAACTAATTTAAATGTAACAGTTGACTGACAATTTCATAAACTCTAAAGATAATTAATAAGTTTTATTACAACTCCAACCTTTCATATTGCCAAGTCCATGCTTCAGGACCATTTATCTTGAGATACACCATGTACAGTAAATTTAGATGTTTTTCATTTTTAGTACCTTCTTGTTCTCAAGGGAGTGTTATGACATCTGTCCTTATTGCTTTGAAGAATGAGTTTGTGACTTAAATGGTTTGTTATTGATACTTTATGTAATGCTTTTTGTTCCTGTAAATTCTCAGATGGGAGAGCACGCAAAAGAAGAAGAACAACTGAAACTGTGGATATTGAAGATCGGTTAGAATCCCTCATTACACGTGTTGGAGAAAAGGTACAAGCTCTCAGTGCAATACATGTATATTAAACTTTCACTGTCTATTAGAAATACCTTTCCTTGAATTTATCTCTTGATACAGAGTACTTCATCGCTTGAAAGCAATCTGGAAGGTCTTGCCAATGTGCTAGAAGCTGATCTGCCAAATTATAAAGAACGTATCCTGAAGATTATTTGCACTTGGTAAGAAACCATAGCATATTTTTTTTTTTTGATTGGCTACACAAGAGTTTATTATTCCACTACTATGCCATAACAATGTAATACCGTGTCATATCTTGTGCATTCTGATATGGCATCTTGGTTGATTTCCCTTTTGGGGGCTGTTAGGTAACTGTTACATGTAAATTTATTGGTCAAAGGAAACTGATTGGTGATCCCTGCAAAGAAAGACTTAATTGGCTGTTCGTCTAAAGCACTGGAAAGCAGAGCAATAAAACAGTTGCGCTGATTGATCCATGACTTTTGAAGCAACAAAATTTAAAGAGCATCACATTTTTTGTTAGTCATGAAAAGCACTTCTATGGTTTTACTTGTGTTGTACATTGTAAATTTATCAAAACTTCAGTGTGTTTCTCACTTTTCTTTGTTCAGTTTTACAAGCTTGAAATTCGCATGTGAATTTATGCTTTCAGTGCTACAAATCTACCAGAGAAAATCACTATCTACAGCACACTTGTTGGACTTTTAAATGCAAAGAGTTACAGCTGTGGAGAGGAGGTACTCTGTCAACTCAAGTTTTTTGTTTCAGTTCATCAAGTTTACACAAAAAATTGCCAACTGAGGTTTTGATTTTGATTATACATAGATCAGAAAAGAAATGTCCTTAGTGAGCTGTTTTTCCAGTTTAACCCACTTTCTGCTGGATACTAATGGCTCAATCTATTGTTTAGTTCCTAGACATGATTTTGGAAAACCTCAAGGAAGTGCTGATTGCTGCTCAATTTGATAGAGCTAGATTAATGGTAATCAATTAGCTTTTGATATATTTATTTCTAGGGTATTTATTAATTTCATTTTAACTGATCTTTTGTGGGTTGCCACTGATGTGGAGTAACTTGGAGTGTTAATGCTAGTTTGTTGCAAGTAACCCTTGACCCCTCTTGGTTCCTGATAATTCAGTACTATAACCCATATCCTTAGGTTTTGGGAAAGATTGGGTTACAGAAGCACAGAACACAGGCAACCCAGCAAGTACTTAGGTCTAAACCTTTCAGTCTGGTCTGATTTAAGGATCCTAATCACCATAAGTAGGATCTGAATCTCTTGACACACTATTATTTCTCTTGCATGTAATCAAAGTGTTTTTAATCAAATTGTACAGTTTTGACATTTATTGTTTTTACTAGGTGCGGTTTCTTGCTGATCTCGTTAACTGCAGAGTTCTCATGCATAGTGGACTGCTGGAGTTTTTTGATAAGTTCCTGGCTGCTACTATGGAGGACAATGCTCCACAGGTGAAAACATCCTTGTTTTTGTACATGTTATACCTTAAAAAAGCATTCCATGTAAAGAATTTTGTTTACCATTTTTAAGAAAATTCTTCACTTTTTTTTGCTTAAAGGTTTTCTTATTCTTTGCTGTATAATGTGCTTTCATTACTTTCATAAGATGATTCCTAGTCATTTGATTTGAACCATTCACTCTGCAAGTCGTCATCCCTTTAAATCTGCAATCACATCTAATTTCATGATGCATTTTGTAATATTTATGGTAACATAAATATTATTTATGATATTAATGATAATCCTGAAAGTAATGGTAATGATTGTTTTATTGTGAATGATCAGTAAATCTTACACATTGTCCTGACAGAATTATCTTTTCAATGGGAAAATACTATTGCCTGTTTAATATGTTTTAGGCCCGGTCTGACTGGTTTGTGTACACAGTACTATCTTCATTGCCATGGGTAAGTTCAACCGCAAAAGTCGATTTAAATGGGAAAGTGTTGACATAATTTCATCTTATCTGAGATAGTGATCTTTTGACCCCTAAGAGTGCTGACAGTCTCCCAACCAATATATCACCCCTGAATCAAACATCAGGGTTATAGAATATGAAAATGATCACCAACTAAAAAAGCTCTTGATTGCTAAACAAATTCTCCTTGTCAGGTCAACCCCTTGTCCACATTACTTAGCTTTTACTTGGTCCTATAAGTAAATGTTGTCAGTAGATGTACAGTATGACAACATCTAGTAATTTGAACAAAACGCTTAATTTTAACAGCCTAAGCAATACAAAAAACCAGGATTAATGTAAGTCTAAATTCTAATTTCTCCATATCTGTAAAACTTAAAAATCAACCAAGAAATGGTTTCAACCCCCATCCCTTCACATGGATTGATTTTAGCAGTTTCTTTTGTGATTAATAAAATTATTGAGGTCTCTCTCTTATTCTAGGCTGCCAAAGAACTCTCTGAGAAGAAGAGTCTGGAATTTGAACGGTTGTTGTCAACAATTGAAAGCTACATAAGGTACAATTTTAAATAGAGGTCAACTGAGCTGCTTGTGAAAAGACCTGCTGACTTATCTACTTGTACATGCAAATCTGTCAGATGTTATATAAATGTTCTTGATGTTTATTTTTTAAATTGACCAGTCAAAGACAGAAGACCCACATTCCTGCCTTGCGAGTGTGGTCATCTGATGAACCTCACCCTCAAGAAGAGGTAAGATGTCATAACTGTTACACTGCACAAGGAAGAAATTTTTATCTTGCTCTGTCATACTGATTAAATTTAAAAAGTTAAGCTTAGTCACATCTAAAATTTTTAAACTGGTTACATATGGCACTATTATTTTCCATTTACATTATTATACAGTTATATGGCATAGGAGCTGATAACCAAGATTTTTAGTGAACCAATCAGAATGCTGAAAATGTGATATGGGAGGTTGAGCATTTGATTAATTATTGTTATATTGCATTCAAGGTCCTGCAATTGATATTAGTTTCATGTTTAAAGCCCTGAAAATTTTATTGTCTTAACAGTATCTTGATTGCCTATGGGCACAGATTAAGAAGCTCAAATCAGACAACTGGCAGGTTTGTGGCAAAAATAGTCTACTTGTTTTGAAAGCAACCTAAAAATGAATGGACAAAACAAAAACTGAAATGCTTCTTGGCATTACATCAATATGCTCTTTTTCTTTTCTGCAGGAAAAGCATATCAGGAGACCTTATCTAGCTTTTGATGATGTGTTGGGAGATGCCTTACAGGTAAAAAGTCTGAAGAACATTCAATCTTATTTAGCAAGCAGCATGTTTATTGCATGCTTGATAGGGTCAAGATTGAAGAGGTGTAGGGAAAACATCCCAATGGACTTCTGCGATATTCCTTTTCCAACTTATTCCCTCTTGTTATAATGCACCAATGGTCATGAAGGACCTTCATGTTGACACCCCTTCAATTTATTTCTCTTAAATTACAGTCAACTCTGTCGTAGGCGGACACCCTCAAGAATTGGAAAAGTGTCTGTTGATAGACTTACATTGTAGTCTACTAGAAATGGTTTAAAGGAGAGTGTAAACAAAAGAAAACTAAAATTTTCACTCCCAAGTCTGTCTGTGTCCTCTTACAAAAGAGTGTCTGCTTATGGGAATGTCAAAATACAAAGTTTGACCGGAGGCAAAACAGGGAATTCAAAAAAGTGTCTGTAAGTAGAGCTGTCCACTTACAAGAGTGTTTGTTGGTGGAGAGTTGACTGTAGTTTTTGGTCTGTTTATCAGGGAAGGATGATGTACAGTGTATTCTTTATGTGGAATCAATACATAAACCACCATTTTACTATGGGATGATGTGCAAGAAAGGCTTTATTTGTTTTGGTCAAACCCTATCAGTATTTTAATTAATTTCTGTTTAAAATGTGACACAGGCTGTTTTGTTAGTCAGTTTTATAAACAGCTATTGCAGAAAATTGGTCTTTCACATATAAAAATAGCTGACAGGGTTTTATACTAAGTTAAATTTTGATAAAATTTTATGATTCTACTACCCTAGTTTAATGGATGATATTGATTTTGTGATTGCTTTACTTATGAAAATGAATAATCGCAAAAAATTGAATCGCATTTTTTCCACAGCACACCCTTCCTTCATTTGCACTTCCAGCAGAGAAGGATGGCACTGTTTACCCACTTCCATATGTAGTTTATAGAATGTTTGATTACACTGATGTACCAGAGGTAAGTTTATTAATGCAAAGCTGACTTTTGCAAAGAGTTGTAGCTTATTCTTCCTTGCACATTTTACCTTTAGAGAGGGTGATAGTACAGAGACATTACTGGGGGAACAACACACCGTACAAAGTTAATTTTTCAATGATTTGCTATAAATGCTACTATTGAATATTTGATTGGGGATTCTTCTGAAATTGAGGACCAGACTATTGATATCAGTGATTTTTTAATGTCATTAAGGATGCAATGCTTGAATAGTTTGCTTGAAATTGTGTGAACTGTTTTTTTAGAAGTAGAAGTATTTAACAATTCTTTTATTGTGTTTTCAGAAAATCACAAAAATTAATCGGTCACTTTGCTTTTCCTAGGGTCCATCTATGCCAGGAGCTCATGCAATTGAAAGATATCTGATAGAGGAGGGTATTCGAAGAACAATTCATGCTCATTTCAAGGACAGAAAGGAATGGTGAGAGATGTGTTGTTAGCTCCATTGTAGCACCTGATGTCCTCTCATCTCATAATAAAGTGTAGTTGTGTTCTTTGCTGCAGTTAATAATAAATGTTATTGTTGATGAGATTTTAAATGCAAAGCTCAGGTTTTCATGGTCTGTTTGCAATTTGCTATCATGATGGATGAGTTATTGAGTTTTATGAGCATGGGGTAGTGATCCTAGGGACTATTTAAATATGTCCCTAAAGCCTGAGGTCTAACACACTCTCTCATGATATTAATAACTATAAGCAATTTTTTTGAAAATTTGCATTAATTTAGATTTACTATTACAAGAAACATTTTTGACATATTAATGCATTTTCCCCTTTTAGTGCAAATCAGCTGTTAAATTTACCTGGAAAGTCTAAAGTGCCTATTAATTATTGTGTCATTGAGGTAAATCATGGTCAAACTGTGACATATGAGGTTCTAGTTAATAAAGTTATTTTAATCTTTTATTTGGCTTTTTGTTAACTGCTATTGTTGGTGGAGAGGATAAGCTGTGAATATCCACTACAACTCTCTGAGAAGTGAATCAGCACAATATTTGAATTTGATTAAATAGTCTACTCAGAAATAAATGTGGGGAAACAAGTCTTCCTTTAACTGCTTCTTTTGAACCTAAGACACTATCATGATTTACATGCACATACCTACGTATGTGAAAACCTTAACCAAGAAAATGATCCAAACAGATGAAAAAAAGCAACTGAATACACTTATTGTTGGATGACATTAAATTTTTATTTCTGTTATTTTCTTATTACCTAAAGGTATTGTAATTGTATTTCTCTTTCAGGTGATCTTTTCAGAAATGTTCAGACTTCCAATGTCATATCATACTCAAGTATTCTATGGTTCCTTGATTATGGAACTGTGCAAACTAAGATCAGACACAATTCCAGGCATTGTATCCTTCCTTTACTTAAAACTTAAATATACGTAGTCAACAAGAAAGATTTTTTGACTGTTAATGGACAAATTAATGTAAACCCAGCACTTTTTTATTTTCAGTTCTTCTGTAGTCCTTTACCAATAAGGATCTCAGGTTGGGATGAGCCAAACACAATGATTTTGAGTTGTTTTGACAAAGACAGAAGTTGAAAAACTGATAAAAGTCAAAACAAGGTGAAAGTTAAAACACTCCTTAAAGGTGAAAATTTAAAAACATTTCAGCTTAATTTTCAAACTGAACAAACTTTGACAAATTTTGAACTCCTTTCTGTGAGAAACTATGTGCATGCTGCAAAGTTGTAACAGCAGCTAGGAAGTTTTTTTTGCTGTATATAAAACAGTACAGAACATGACTATTAGCTGCTTTTGTAAGATAACGTGAAAATATAAGTTTAGTACCACAATGTGATTTGCAGCAAACTAAGCTGTACATAAATGCATGTCAGCTGATTCAAATTAAAGTTCTTCCTTAATGGACATCTTCAGGTTGCCCAGGCAACAGAATTATTGTATGAAAGGATAGATACAATGAACACAACTTGTGTAGAAAGGTGAGTTCTGAATTAAACAACCTCTGTTTAAAAGGGATAAGCCTTACTTTTGTTGCAGCATTCTCTTGTTGTATCCTTTGAGGGACAAGCCTGTACTACACAAACTTCTCACAAAAATTTCATCCCTGAACTGAATGGCTATCCTAACCAACATCTACTTTGCAATGCATTAGCTGCCCATTCAATTTTTTGCTGTGCACAAGTGCTCCTGAACATTTTTTTCTTTAGACACTTTAGCATTATTTTAAATATTTTATTTTATTTATCATATGTTTTATATATCTTACAACTTTTTAATCCAATTAGTTAGGGAAACGTTACAGAGTTAACTAGTATTTTTTTCCTTTTTAAGATGTTGTTTTGATAAATTGATTCTCTTATCTTTAATAAATATTATGCCGTTATAGAATTTGTCTCAGGTTTGATTGTCCAACTAGGATATATTCGTTATGAAGATTGATGAAATGTCTTCATAGGTTTGTTTGTTGGCTTTCGCATCATCTCAGCAACTTCCAGTTTAAATGGAGTTGGGATGAATGGTAAGTCTGTTAATTTTGTTGAAGCATCATTTTATCCCAAAAATGTACAAGCAATGATTATTTAAATACTTTAAAATCGCTTTTCGTAAGAGGCATAGAGAAGACGGTTTGCGAATCTTTCACCGTGCTGCGGAAGAAAAGAAGAGGGGCCCTGGGAATGGGGTTACTGGTCGCGATTGCGACCTGAAGATAGTACCATCTTCGTTTTGACCTTGGCCAAAGAAATGAACGACAAGGAACCGTCCTGTCAATTTTGTTCTTTTTTTTTATTTTGAAGGGTATCTGCAACTGACGCTGGACTGGAAACACCAAGATGTGTGTTCTTGAATGAACTTTTTGAAAGAATTCGAAGGTTAGTTACTGTGAATGGCAAAATGGTAATTTTTACGTGCCTTTGCAGCGGTGCGCATTTTATATGTCGAATTCATAGAATATGACAAGAAATTGCGCTTCAGATGAGAGAAGTTCGCACTTAAAACTAATATTACAATTCTCTGAAAATTCTTGAATTCTGACCGTTTACCGTCTTTGCTTAATGAATGATTTTAATTTCTTTAGACTATCGTACCATCAGTTCCTGGTTGAGAACATCCCTGAGGGATTACATGGCGTTCTCCCCGCTGTACCTACACCCAACTACCGATACTCAGACGAGGAAGGTATGAACAATACGGTACTTCATTTTAATGATTACGAAGATACTTCCGATTAGCAAGCTCACACTTTTTACCTTGTTATTGAATTTTCTGCGGCATTGTTGCCATGTTTTGGCCGGAGAAAACTGAGAGTGCAATACGCATAAAACAGTCAATTTTTTTTTAAATGCTCCGTTCCTGCCTTGCTTATTCTCTCTTATTTCCTTCCTGCGAGAAGGCAAATTAGGAAACCCCTGCGTAAAGGTGTTTAATAGACAGGATTTATTCCCCTTTCTATTTTCAATTCATAACTTACAACATAAATCAGTGATAATGCAGTACTCTATACACAACAATGTTGATTCAAAGTACCTACCACGTTAGTTTACTTACGCTACGTGTTATCAGTCCACAATTCTAGTCCAATACTTACGAACTACAAAGCATCTTATAAGTTACTTCTAATTTTCTGCCAGGCAAGTTGGCTGGACAAGACAAAGCGAAAGAGCTTATCGACGCAATCAGAGCCAAGAAAGATGTCGATCATCTTCAGACTATTTTAAACAACATACCAGCAAATGCAACTGGTCAAGAAGATGACAATGCTGATGGTAATAGTTTTGTGTTTTTTCGTAATCAGGCAATCTTTTGTAGTTAAAATTTGATGCAGCACGAAATTCTAAAACTTATTTAACACTGCAAGAGGAGGTAGAAGCCTAGTGGAAACAGTTTCAATTTTCTGCGCAAATCCACATTGTTAATCATGCCTTCTCCACTATTTTTTGTTTTTCCCTCCTACAATGTAACACTGAAGCAGAGGAATGTTTTTGCGTCTCGACTAACAACCGGAAGAACGCAACAATTTTTGCTAGTGCGCTTTGACATAACAAAAGATAACTAGAAACCCCTTGTTTTAAAATTTTGCACGCAAAGAAACAGAATATAGATTTGTGGCAAGTGCGAGGATGCAGAACACTTTACTTCCGTTATCCATTTACGTCACAAAAACGTCTGGGTTGCGCGATCAATCTTAATCTAGACCAAACCTCCTCATTGTTTGTGTAACGTGATGATTCATAGCCTGTAAGTGTTTCTCTTATCTTTTCAGCGCCAGTAATCGACCATACTTTTCCAGTATTACGTCTGGAGGTCTTGCTTCAAGTTGTGTTCAAACTCGGTTCCAAGTCTTTAAGTCATTCATTCAGTGCTCTTACGAGGTAACAAATGGAAATATTCGCTAGAACTATACTCGGGCTTGCTATCGAAGAACGGACGCCAACTCGAAATCGTCCCGATGAAATTCTCCCTTTATAATTATTGAAGTAAACAATATGATCTTAGATGATATTCAAGTAAATGATTGATCGTCGCCGGTTAGCTGCAATCAATAAAATTGAGGGAAAGAAGCCAGAGAAAATTCAGGCTTCGACGAAATTCGAACCCGTGCCTCCTCTTCAAGTCTTCTCAGCCTAACATCAGTGTGCGTATTCTCCATACTGCTCTCTGTTTACTTCCTAAGGGCTGACTTGGAGAATTTGTGTAACCATCAAGAGCTTCTTTAGTTAGTGACCTTTAATGTTTGAGAAATTAGACGCTAGTCACTCTCAAAGGTCAAAGAGTTAAATAATCATATTTGTATACCATCCGTTTTGGGGATTTTCGACGGGCCTCGAGAGTGGCTACATAGTGGGAATCCGACTGTAATAGTGGTGTAGTGTGAGAGTTACTTGAAAATAGAGAATTTGACGAGGGAGAAAAACAGTGCTTTGTTTTTGCAAAGATGAACACCTGTGATAAGCTGCTACGTGTAGTATGTTTAGCTGAGTTGACAATCGAGGAATAGGGAATTTAGCATCCTTTGGATTTTAATTCTCAAACTCTCAGTAGGATGTACTTAGTAGTTTTTTCTTGGAGAGGTTAATTTGAACTTTGATTTTTAGGTTTCATAAGCTGTTAAAAAATGTTATCGTGAACGAAGAAGCTCAGATCCATTGTTTGAAGATTTTGCACGAGTTTTGGTCATCAAATCATCAGGTTTGTAATCACCACATTTAAAATATTTAAATCTTTACTTATTTCTGTCTGGGCTTTTCTTGATAAGTTTTCCTAGTGAAACATGTACAGTTACTTGAAAACTGTTGATTTTGGTAAACTTTTACGGTTTATGTTCACACGCTATTATTGCGCAAATAGTTTGCAGTTCAGGCTACAGAACGCCAAGTATTTCTTTCGTGGCCAAAATTTAGTGGTAGCATATCAGTGTATGATAGCTGGGGTTCTTTCTTTAGATCGTTGTGGTGCTGGTTGATAAATTGGTTCGCATGCAGATCACTGATTGTTCAGCGGTTGTCAACTGGCTTTTTTCCAAAGACATGAAGGAGAACTTTACAAGGTATTTTATGATGGAAATTTTACTTTTATGGATCGCGAAAAATTGTACTTACAAACAACCATGTTTTTATATCAATCATTAGGATGTTGAAATTATATACTGCATGTAGAAGGCAATTACAGTTTTATCAAGACCTTAAGTTAATAAAAGTATGTTTCAAGATGTTACATCTACCCACGTGGTTTTGAAACTCAAGTAGGTAACATTTTGTGGTTGAAGAGTTGAACGTAAGTAATTTTCAACGTCACAAAAAGCGATTTCTTTCGTAGCTCAGTTCGGTTGTTGAACCCTTCCACTCTTAGGAGTGACCGAAAAGTATTTTCTCTTAACAAAATCGATACCTTCCAAGGAGACAGGTGATGAGAATTCAGAAAAAAATACCAACAAGGGGGTTTATATTAGTTGCCGCCAATTTCTCAGGCCTAAAATGAAAAGAAATCTTTGACAGACAGTTAGGAGAATTACTCTTGAGATATTGGAAGAGGAAAAGGGCAAATGAATATTGCGAACTCTGTTCTGACATAAAGTATCAATAATCTAGATTTCCCTCCTTTCCTAACACTCTTACTAGTGCTATCCGGCTGCTGTTTATCATTTGAGCAGTTTTAATCCTCAAGAAAGATTGTGCACTTAGTCGTTTGTCTTTTGTAGCTCCCCTGTCTCTTCTCTTCGTTCTTTCTTTCTTGTTCGATCCCTTTCTGTTAAATAATTTGATTCTTTTATCTCCTTTCTAAGATTATACGTGTGGGAAATAATGACGAGTACCTTAAAGAAAATGAGCAAGCATACTAGTAAGGTAGGAAGGGTTGCACGTTGTGCTTCAAAGGTTCTTAAAATTCGAGTGAATTTTAAAATTTTAAAGTCGTGTGTGTTGTGTCTGTAGGTTTCAGGAGAAGTACAGGAAGCTAAGGAAAAGGTGGCGAAATTGGAAGAAAAAGCCAAGAAACAGGTCAATGGTGTGATTGATGAAATGTCATGTAACGCATAGTTCTAATGTGGTTTTCCCTTGAATCGCGTAACTTATTTTTCTTGTTCGGGATGAAAACCCGTACTGAAAAAAAGTTAAAACCCGAACAGATCGTGACATTTGCATAATAGATAGCCTTTACATTAGGACTACGCTGTGCGGCTATTTCGTCAGTGCAACCACCATGTGTAAAGAGACTTGGAGGTCCGGTCATTTTCAATCCTGTACTTTTTCTCTCTCTCTATTACTGATGACCGCTGGAAAGTTTTTTGCACTTGATCACGCACAATTACCAACGATCTGCGGCGATGATATAAAACTAGTTGTACGTGTAGGTGTTTCTCTCTTTTAAATATGATTTCTTTTCGAGTCAGGCAGGAGAAGCGAATGGAAATTCAAACCTTGAACCTGGTGTAGCGGAAGATTTGGGTAAAAAACAAAAGCAGCTGGAAGAACTTACAGAAAAACTGGAAAATGCCCAAAGAACGCAAAAGCAACTCTTCCTTATTGTTTTCCAGGTTAGAAATAGCACGAGTTTTGAATGTGATACGTAGAGAAATTTAATGGTATTATGTTGTATAAAAATAAAATTTTAGGTAGTCAAGATCGTTTAAAATGAAAGTTGAGTTGGTTGGCTAGATTGACCTATAAATCTTTTTCTGTCAATATTATCATTTTGATTATTAAGATTGTACAGTTCGTAATAAGAGTGTTTACAGTTGTTGTGAAATAATGACAAATTTCTGATCTGTGTGTTCTCTGTCTTTATAACCATATTCCAGCGTTTTATAATGATCTTAACGGAACACATTGTTCGCTCTGAGCAACAGCAGTTGGATGTAAACACTCAGTGGTTCAAGTACACAACAGAAAGACTCCGAGAAATATTAATCACGGTAATTTCTCATATTGTTATTTGATAGCTAAGGATTGGCGTATTCCTTTAAGAAGCTATAGAAGAAAAAACTTCTAATGATGTACAGAAAAACAAATTGACCAGCCCTTAAGAAGCTTGCACTTGCTTTAAACTGCTGTATTGCTTGGTAGACTATGTTATTATCCCGCAGCAATAGATTGTGTTTTTTTTAATCATCATCTCCATCATTTTTGTTATTATTATTATTTTATTATTAATTAAAGTATTGTCACTGTTCTTATTACTTGCATTATCTTTTTGAATTTCATGATAATCGACATTGTCATTATCATCGTCATTAGCATAACAGTCATTGTCATCGTTATTACATAAGTATGATTATCATTATTATCATTAATATTATTCTGAATTTTTTTAAATGAGCTACGTTCGTAATTTGGAGTCTTTTTCGCGCACGCGCAATACCACCTTCGTTCCTCGAGAGAAAACAAAAATTCCCTCAGTAAGATAGAAAAACATGACAACAATAATTCAGGTAGAAGCAAGGACGGCCAAGATTGTAGAAGATTGTAAGGGACGAATCTAGGCTAACTTTCTAAGAAGCACAACCAGCCTTAGCTCATGTGAGCTGTTTCATTTAGAGCAGAAGCATTTCTTATGATCCTCAGAAGGAGTGGAAAAGATTGCAGTTAGGATTGAGGGGTGTGTGTTTACACCAGAAAACGTTAATTGTCTTTATTTCATCTGTTCATTTCAGAATCATAATCAAGTGTTCCAGTACCTGAGCTCTCTCGAAACCTTGCTCTTCACATCTGATCTTGATCCGCGCATTTTGAACTTGTTCAATCATTTTAAAGCCTTAAGGTCGTAGATGGATGGCATTCCTAACCTTTAAGTTTAAGTTAGAGTAGTATGTACACCACACATATGGCGGAAAATCGTAAAAGTTATTTTACGAAGGTTTCCTCTCACTCGAGCAAGGAACAATATGTTTTTCCTCATGCGCTAATTTTCCAGAGTTTTCTTTGTTCCGCTTCACTCGTAAAGCGATGAAGGGTCTATGGTTTGCTCTACGTCTGATTTTAAGTGTTTTATTTCTTGTCATCATATATTTTATTGCATAATTATTTTTTCCAGCATAAATTATCGTTCAGTTGCACATGCAACGCAACCATTCTCAGCTGGGTAAGCAACGGTTGGGTCGTATTTAAGCCAATCCCTGGCTTTGTTCCTCTCTCCACGCGAAAACAAAAGGCCTATTGTTTAACAATCGGTCGCTTCTGGTCGTCATAGTAAGCTATGAGTTTTTATGACTTTGTAATTGGCAATTTTAAATATCCAATAATTGGAAAAGTGCTGAATTCTTAGTCAGAATCTCAAAGATTTGTTGTCGTTATAAATTTTTAATTGAGTGTCAAAAGTAATTCGGTATTACTTTGATTTTGCTTTACCTCGCACTCTGATTGGCCTAGAATACTCGCGCCATCCTTTCAACCAATCAAACGCAAAATGGCTTAATCACCTGCGCTTTCACGTCCTTGAGGCAGTTTGCCTGAGTTTGCTTTGAGTTCTTATTGGCCTATTATGATGTTAAATTTTTTATCTGATTGGCTGTGTTGATTACTCTAGTTTTGGTTTTTTGACATTCAATTAAAAACTTCCCTAACCTTTGATAAAAATTGAGCATGTGTTTTTATCAAACAGCGTGTAAGCTGGGCACCCTCGTTTTAACTCAACCATTACGTTATCTTTTAATAAACAATAACCAACTTGCTAACGGTGTCGTTCCTTATAATTGACTCCATCGTGTCGTGCAGTTTTACGTGGTTTTGTAAGAAACCTTTTCGGTGTTCGGTGTAAAAAGACCAAGAGTAGTCGCTTTTACCCCGCCTAGTCCGTTGCATGAGTCAAAAGGAATCAGCGGCGTTTAGATGTCTTCCCCCTCCTCCCATGCCATTCAAGGTTATCAACAACCCTCACATCCGGAAAGAAAAAGTCTGAAGAAAGAACAGAATGTTGTACCTTGTTGTGCCAAGTTTGGGGAGAAATCTTTCTCTTTTTCCTTTAGAAGTAAAGCGTGACATCCATCTCGCTTTATCCGTTTCATATTACATACGTCTGTACCAAACTGCATTTAATCATATTATGATGTTGATTCTAATATTCGAGCACATGCCAAAAAGCGAATAGGTTAGAAGGTTAAAGTGAAAATTGGGGAAAGGAAATTTGCGACTTTTTAGTTACTTGTATTTATTTCTTTCTTTTCAACACAAGAACGTTATATTAAGTAGTGATGCTGGTTGACGCTGTGCAGGTCCTAAATAGTAGCATCCTTGAGAAGTCGTTGATCGCTAACAGTATCCCATTTATCCAAAAAGCCTTGACAAGTGTAATCATGAAGATATGCTCGGAAGTGACAACAACAAATCTTAAGTTTTCCACTAATTTCATCAAACTGCGTCAGACAAAGCTGCCAACCTTGACGATAAGAAAGTTTTGGTTCAGTTGAAGATGGCTACTATGCGTTTGAAAGATTGCTAGAATTTAGCGCGGAATAAATTCAAATATACGTGATACATGGAAACGAGAAGAAATTTTTTTGTAGACTGGGTCCTAGGTTACGCTTAAACACTTTAACACGATCACGCACGTTTGAATTTTACGGTAATTTACGCTGTGATCTTGTATTAAGTTTCCTTTTTTCGTTCTTTCATTTTATAAAATCTTATTTCGTAGTTTTATTTGCGTGATTTACATGACTGACTTTTCTTCCTTTGTATCGGTTGAAGAGATCATTATCAAATTCTCTTTCATTCGATTAATTTTTTTCCCTAACTGCTTTCGTTACATGGAGACCAAAGCCGGAAAAGTCCTACAAGGCAAAAATGAGGATTACTTTTGGATTGGATTTGAAATGTTCTTCAATAACTTAGTCCTGGGCCCGCAGCCCATAGTCCGCTGTCCACAGTCCATATTCCCTGTTCACCCTTTCTGTGGCAAAGCAAAAGCTCTAAAATGAGTGGACGAAGAGTGGGAGTTTACAATTGAATTAGCGCGCGGCCGGCCCACAACTGTGTTTTCCATTAGCTGAATGATGACGGACTCATTAGTTTTCAGAAAGGACAAAGTTGAAGATTTTTACGATATCGGTGATGAAATTGGGCGGTGAGTAATTTAACTAAATTGATGAAGTCTTAGCTGCTAATTTCCTTAAGCTTCTTATATTTGAACATTTATAGTTTGTAAATAAAATACTTGAAATTTTATGATGTAGATGTGTAAATTTTGTTCTCTTTAGAGGACAGTTTGCCGTCGTTAAGAAATGCGTGGAAAAGAGCACAAATACAGAATTTGCGGCCAAATTTGTGAAGAAAAAACGGAGCTTAAGTTCGAGGCGAGGGGCTACGGCAGAGCAAATCGCTTACGAGGCAGAGCTTCTTAGAAAGGTTCAACATGATGGGGTTATTTATCTTCACGACGCTTTCGAACGCGCTGCGGAATTCACTCTTGTCCTGGAACTGTGAGTCATCTACTTTTAACATTTTTTGCTATTCTTATCGTTCAAGCGAAATATTTGTTTGTTTTTTTCATTGTGTGATTTATTTGTGAACAATCATAGGAAAGATATTCTCGAATGTTCCAGTGGGACTATACGTGAAAGAAAACCACTTACCGGTACATGGACATGCTATTGGTTCTTTAAGCTTATTTGTTGAATCATCTCAATAAAAAGTAATTTATAATTAATGATCTATGTTTCACCGGGTTATGGGTACTTTATGGACTAAGTTAAAGATACAAAAGGATTTTAAATTGATCCTTTTCCAAAAGTCAAAATTAGCATATGTCTCCTTAGGCAATCTCAAACCTTAATGCGAATTTATTAGACTTGTCACTGCAAATCAAGAGGTATTGGCAGATTTAATCAATAACATTCTTTCCAGCGTCCCTAGAGAGCTTTGAAAGAATTTCCTGACGTTCAAAGGTTAAGGGTTTCGGGTTCTTAAATTTTTGTGGCTCAAGTTTCCCGACCAGTTTCCTAAAGTGTTGTCCCTCTCATAGCATTTTATTAAGTAATGCTTCAAAGCATGGGAATCCGAAACTCAAAAACTGTGAAAATGATTTTTTTCCTTTGATAATCACTGTGCCTTGGCCCTTTAACAATTAAAGGTAACTTCAATTATAAAACAATATATATTTTTTTGTGGGCATAAAATAATATGTTTAAGGTCAGACTCAGCATCATTTTACCCCCTGCCTAAGGGTTAAGTGACTCTGAAAAAGGCTTAATACTATTTTGACAAAAAAAAAAACAAACAACATTCTGAACAATCACTCAAGTGTGAGAGTGTGCCAAAATACATTTTAAGCCGTCAAAATGTCTATTTTAGCATGGAAAAATATGCCAAAATGCACAAATAAGTGATGGCAACGAGATAATTATTGTCCAAGGAGTCTCTCTGTATGAACATTTCACCATTGTTGTTTTGTCAGTACAAGATTTATACTCCATTGAGTAGACTGCTTGTCCAAATATACAATTTTTCTCGGGATGAAACGCAAGGAGACTTAAAAAAAAAGTTTCACAATTGTGTTTTTTTACAAAATAAATTGTAGTGTTTGTTGCAAAGGAGAGCGCAGGAGCCATTGTTGAATATTATCAATGGGATGTTTAATATTCACCATTACAAACATGTAGATAGAGCTTACATTTTTAAGGGAACTTCCCAAAATGTGGTTCTGATCAAGTCTGTGTATGTCTGTGGATACAGTTCATTGGCAGGGTCAGCAGACCTTGAATGAGGAGTGCACCATAATAGTTTATCAGCCTTGCTCCTTAAAGTGTATATTTTATATAACATTTTATATGATTACAGCAGATGAATTGACAACCATTATTATTTTTGCTAAAATTAATCAGATTGAGTGGAGGAGAGTTATTTGAGTTCTTGATTGAACAAGACTACTTGACAGAAAATGAAGCAATGAGCTTTATACAGCAAGTTGTGGAAGCAGTTGATTACATTCACAACCATCACATTGTACATTTAGATATTAAGGTGAGTTGAATTTTGCTTTTTTTCTCAAGCCTTATGTCCCCCCCTCTCCCCCTGGTGGGAGACTCACTGGTTGTGCAAGGATATATTTTTTTCAGGGATATGTATGCATACCATTTGAATTTTAAAAAGCATAAACTTAAGTCCTTTTGCAACAAATTTAAATTTTGTGGGAACATTTATTTGAAAATCATTCCTCTTTTGCTCGCCCAAGCAACTTGGTCAACTGTGTGTTGCTAATTTATTGATGAAGAAAAGCTCTAATAAGGATGAATCAATTAATAGGAGATTCACAACTGCCACTGATGTTGGTCATTTACCATGCATGAAATCTAGATGGTTAAATCTAGAACTTCGCTTGGAATAGAAGAGCAATCTTGAATTGGTTAAAACTGGTAAAGAAAGCTGTCTGGCTGCACAACATGAATTGCTCCACACCTTTGAGCAAAAAGATTTTAAGTGCAAAAAAACTGCAGGTTAAAGGTTTTGCAGCTCCTCAAGCTTAGTTTATGGTCACAATATAATGAACTAATTACAGCTTCCTGTTAAGTGAGTATGAATTTTTAGTTGGAGACCTTGGTTACTCTTATTATGTGTCAGTCATCATGGGTCATCTTCATCATCATCATCTTTGACAGATCATTTACCTCTGTCAATACAAAATTGAAGCTGTTTTTAAATGAAAGAAACAAACATTTCTCAGATGAAAAGTCATTTAACTTTATTGCCTCAGTTGAGCTTAGTTTTTTCACAACAATCTCCTATGCGAACTAGCTCACTCCAACTCTGGTTGAACATAGACAAAGAAGCATAACATTCTAGATTTTATTTACCAGTCAGAGTCAAGATTATTCTCCATGTTATTTTTCATGCTGGAGGTTTTACTGACATCACATTGTACACATGCACAACACACCGTAAGGAAACTTGGGAACTAGTGCAGTCTGTTGCAAGTCCACAATACAATTATCAGAGCTTTCAGACTTTTTTAATTTACTCAGTAACTTCTGAAGATGTGTTGGGGCTTTGATACAGTGGCAAATTTTGAATGAAATTGCATTTTGATCAAAAGAAAAGATTGCAGGGTGCAAAGAACCAATTGAATCATAAAAATTACTATTTTGAGCAAGATATTGTCTAATGAGTGTGGATGGTAGATCATGGTCACATCATGGTTTGTATTTCATGAGTCATAGCTTGTTTTTGAAGTTGGAGCCCTTAATATTCCATTTTGTATTTCATGGCAAAAAATTAATTATTATGCAGAAAGTATTTTTTGTTGGATTGGGAAGGAGGATAGGAGTGCAGTAAATCTTACACAGTGACTGCAATGTATTTTACCTAGCAGTCCTATTACAATGACCTTTACATAATGTGAAAACTTTTCACTCAGTACAACTTCAAACAAAATGCATGATCCACAATGCACAGCCTACAACTAACAAACCACATCCCATCTTTCTTTTTCACAAGTCAATTATTTCCCTTTCAATTCCAAAAATCTGAGTATTAATTCTCCTTACTGTCTACAATTTCTATGATGTCAGTTGAGAGAACATGGCATTAGATCAACTAATGATCCCCTATTTTATTTTGTTCTTTATTCTCATCGCTTAGCTGCTTGATATTGTATGGATGTTGTAAGGCAAAATTTAATCTTGGTCACGCGTTGGAATTACAGGCTTAATAATCTTTTGAATTTGACAAAGCTTAAAG